AACCATGTGTTGTAATTATTATAATATTTATTTTATTTTGTAATAAAATGTATATATTTAATATTTAAATAAAAAAGATAAAAGATAAATAATCAAATACTTTAAAACTATAACTGAATTAAAAAATATAAACAAATTATTTTTTTAATAAAAGACACATAAATGTGCAATTTTATGTTATTTTATATTTAATATTTTATTTTTTATTGTTAATGTTTTGATAAACAAAATTTGTTATCTATTACCTTGTTTAATATTATATATTTTTTTATTCAAATCCACCTTAATATTAACCATGTGTTGTAATTATTATAATATTTATTTTATTTTGTAATAAAATGTATATATTTAATATTTAAATAAAAAAGATAAAAGATAAATAATCAAATACTTTAAAACTATAACTGCATGAAAAAATATTTAAAAAAATTGTTTTTTAATAAAAGACACATAAGTGTGCAATTTTATGTTATTTTATATTTAATTTTTAATAATTAATTTTATTAAATACTTTTAATTGATTAAGCTAACTTAATAACTATAAATTTTCATTTAATAATAGCTTTTTCAAAAAGTCATTGAGTCAGCCTATTTATACAAAAAAGTATATGCTGAACTAGTTAATAAATATGAAATAGTATTAAAGACTATAATCATAAGATATTTTTGTATGAGTTTGATTTTATTTTAAAAATAAAATGAAATTTTAGATGTTTAATTTTTTAGGTTGTTCAATTAATTTTGAACTCTTATCATTTTTGTTTAAAAATCAAATATTTTATTGAAAATCAAAATAAACGCCGTAGACAAAATATAACTAAAATAAACATTATAATATTTAAATAAAAAATTATCATCATATTAAACAATAATGTCTTTTTTTGTAAAATTATAAAGAGGAAATTTTTATTGTTAGATCTTATTCACTAAGATTAAAATACATAAATTAGCAAAAAAAAAATGTTACATAACTTTTTTAAATGATTATATTATATTGCAATAAATTTAATTTTAATTATTCATATATAATTATATGATTTAAATTTAATTAATTCACTTTCATGTAAAAATAATTCATTTTCTTAAATACATTTCATATATGAGTATATTTTTAGTGAAAGAAGTCTTTATGAAAGTGAACCAAATCAACTCGTCAGGACTATTTTTTAATTAATTATTAATTTTTAATATAAAAATATTGTTTAAATATTTTTATAGGTTATATATATATATATATATATATATATATATATATTTATATCAAGAACCAGTGAAAAGCTCTCACAAGAGAAATTTTAATTACATTCAAATTCAATTTGCTTATTCTGATTTATGTATCTTTTGTTTATAGAAATAAAAATATTTAAATATTTATTCTAAGATTACTTTATTCTAATATTTTAATTTAAAATTAAATAATTAAATTATTCTCAAGTTAAAATTCAAATATTTGATTAAATTAATTCTTTGGTAATCTTATTTTGAATTTTCATTTACTTGAATTTGAGCGAGTAATTTTGTTTGTTGTTTTTATTTTATTTTATTATGATAGCTCAATTTTACTTCTTCTTTTTCTTTAAACTCTATAATTAGTGTAAATCAACGAGTCTCTTATTTCATACAAAAATAAATAAATTAGGTTGATTGGTTGAATTTTTATCCCATAATTTTCAAGAATTTAAAATAATTCTATACACCAAACGTCACTTATAGAAAAATTAATTTATTTTAAATTTTAACTTTTTTCATCAAATTAAACCTATTACAGCTTTATAACTAAACATATTAAAATAAAACAAATTTTAAAATGTTCTTTTAATGTGTCTAAATATACATAGTAAAAGTTTATATGTAATAATTTTTTAATACAAACAATAGTATCTAACATATTGAAAAAAATTATTATCTATTATTTTTATTCTACATTAAGAAAATTATTAAAAACATTAATTATGACAAAATTACTGTTAATCGGACCCGTCCGCACCTGAAAAAAATGTTGTGAATTAAATTGGATTAGAGTTACATAATAGATATTAAATTTAAATATTTATACTTCACTAATTTAATAATTTATTGAAATATTTTTATTAAATATATTAAATTTAAAATTTTATATATAAAAATAATAAGTATTTTATGGTATTATATTATTTTAATATATAATATTTAATTAAAATATAAATAAATATTAATATTGAATAGCGTATTTATATGTGTGAAATTTAATATGCATTATAATAGAAAAAAATTAACATGAATTATAATCAAAATAATATTAGATAATTTAATAGTTAAATTAATAAATTTTACACTAATTATTAATGTATTATGAATATATTATTGGTAAATTCTGTGGTACCCATAAAAAATATTCATTGAGATATGTTTAGTTTGATTATTACGCTACATGTACTTTATTTAAGCTTAATTAATATGTAAAATTAATTCAATTTACTAACACAATATAAAACTTCTACGTTATCACACTTTTTTAATGTTTTCTTGATGTAGATAATAAGAAAAATCTCCCTTGATAGAATTTTATACAAAAAGTAGATTTATAATATGACTGGATCTAATAATCATAAATTTTTTACTGCACAAATAATTTGAGAAGTTTGTGAAGATACACAAATAAATTTTTGTTGATGATGAATTTGTTTCAGAATCAATTTTTTTTTTATCAAAATTTATTCATATTATACTATTTTGCTGCATATTATTCTTTATCACAGTTACATTAACTAGGACATTTTTATCTTTTTTTTTTATTTTATTTTAACAACACTTCTTTTAATTTGATCTAAAATTCTGATAATTAATAACTCTCTTTTAAATTTTTATTTTTTAGTTGATATTATTGGTTAATATAATAAAACATAAGTTTTGTTAATCTGAACTTTTAGGAGTAAGTTTAAATATCAAAGAACAATACTTTTTTTATTAAAAAAATATATTATTATACTAAAATTATAAAAGTGTGATGAAATAATTATTTGTTAATAAAAAATTATTTTTTTAGCTGGTTAAAGTTAAATTTAGAACTGTGATTCAAAATTTGTATAATTTTTGTTTATCTATGATGTAGATATTATTTTGTATAAATTAAAATGAAAATTGTTATAATTTTACCAAAGAATATTTATTTAATAAATAATATTCGATTTAATTAAAATATTTTTATAAATAATACATAACTTTAAGTTTAAATATTTTTATAGAAATCTAGAGAAAATAAGTTCAAAATATACTTATAAAGTTTACTCAATTACTTAGACGACTAATAATGCAATTGTGTTATTTAAATTGAAAAATTTTAAGCATTATTAAGTTAATTTTTTAAATAAATTTAATTTAAAATTATTATCTTATTTTAAATTTAATTTTATGTACACGGACTTCTAATTAGTTTGCATATATTTCTTATTTTTATTAAATAAAATTTATTTTTAATTACAACTAACTTGACAAGGACGATGAATACGGACGGGTTCCCTGAATTTCTCCGATAAGAAACGTAAAAATACAATAAAAACAAAGAAAAACAGCTAACTAAGGGTACATACAAATCAATCAAAGAAACACACAAAAGAGAAGCGTCTGCTTCGCGATTCTGATCCCGACTTCTTCGCTGTTCGTAACGCGTATCTTTCATGTTTGTGCATTTTTTTCTTTTATTATTTTTTATTTATTTTGCTTTGATGATCTTATGGTGCTTATTTTCTCGGACTCCCGTTAATGGAATTTTCAATTTTGCCGGTTTTCAATTTGAGTCTCCCAAAGCCAAATGAACCTTTCCCCCTTTGTAATTCGCCGATTCCTTATAGTTATCGCCACTTCCTGCCTTTTCGTTGTTAACGTTAGCATCTTTCTTTTCAATTTTGGAATTTCTGATCATGGGGTTTGTGTAGGCACTATGAAGTGAAATTGCGTTGCTGGAAAGAGTGAGAATTTGGTGATTTTGGTCAGAGTTGCTCTGAGTGATTGCTTTCCCTGGTACCCTCTTGCCTCCATCACATTGTTACCTTATTTGCTGACATGTGAATACGTAAATATGATGCATTTTGTTGGTAAAAACTTATATGAGAAACTGAGCATGTTTGTTGGGTTGGAAGAATTTCAGCTTAACTGCAAAGTATTGGTTTCGTACAAACCCTCATAATAAGGTTGCTTTACATATTAATAGGTTATATGGGCATGTTGATTACTTGCGAGACCAAATAAATCACCTTAAACTTGCTCTGTCTAATGTGTTATAACACATGAATGATTGATCTGTTTGAACTTTGAAGAGCATCAGAGTCAAAGACATAGTTGCTTAGATAAGACTAATGAAAGGTATGAATAATGACCCAAGCAATGAGTCTAACTGTGCTACACTAAAATTCTGATTGTGGTGTTGTGGGGCTGCCTGATATTATGAAGAAAATGGGCGAGAGAGAACTGAGCTGCAGAAGGAGTATGAAAAGGACATATGTTTCTTGTCACTTGAGTTAATGATAATTCTTTTAGCTGAATAGTTGTGTACTGTTGAGGCTCAAGGGTGGGTTTAGCCGTCTAGGAGAAGCTCAGTTTTTGTTGACTTATATTTCTAAATAAGGGAAATTCTACTTTGCAAGTCTTGAATCACATTTACTTTTCATACCAAAAATAAAAAATGTGAATTTTATATCATTTCATGGACTACCTTACCTTCCTCTTTATTCCCTATCATGTGTTTGGGTGAGCATTAAGACACTCAGCTATTGTTGAATATATAGTATTATATACAAAGACAGTAACAACATAAATATGTTGCCTTTGATAATATCAGGTCAATTCCCTCCTACTACTTTATCCCCCACATTGTAACTTGCAAACGTTACAGTCTGATTAATGATTTGTTTCAAGTAATATCAATGAATTTTTCTTGTCTGTTACAACAGAAATCACCTTGTGGCAATTTACCTTCTATACCTTTGTCAACTGTGGTTATTGAGTGCGGGAAATGCTGGCAGGGTCCCCCTCATCTCATATGAGCTCATCTGTTTCAACATCTCAAGGAATATTTCCAACTTCAAGAATTGGAAATTGTGAATCCCCCGATGTTGGGGCTTCTTCTTCTCTTTCCCGGCCTAATGCAGATACGAATGAAAATGATGAAACAGACTTGCTCTCAATATCTTGGAATCAGGACTATGGTTGCTTTGCTGCTGGCACCAGTCATGGTTTTCGTATCTATAATTGTGAACCTTTCAAAGAAACTTTCAGACGTGATTTAAAAAGTGGTGGTTTTAGAATTGTGGAGATGCTGTTCCGCAGCAATATTTTAGCACTTGTTGGTGCTGTAGCTAATTCCCATTATCCACCCAATAAAGTTTTGATATGGGATGATCATCAGAGCAGGTGCATTGGTGAATTTACATTTAGGTCTGAAGTTCGGGGAGTGAAATTAAGACGTGATCGAATTGTAGTTGTTCTTGAGCACAAGATATATGTTTATAATTTCATGGATTTGAAGCTTCTTCATCAGATTGAGACTTTGGCGAATCCAAGGGGGTTGTGCTGTCTTTCACACCATTCAAATGCATTTGTTTTGGCTAGTCCAGGTCTTTATAAAGGACAGGTTCGAGTTGAACACTTTGGATTGAACATGACAAAATTAATCAATGCTCATGATTCTCAAATTGCATGCTTCACTCTGACAATGGATGGGCTCCTTCTTGCAACTGCTAGTGTTAAGGGCACCTTGATTAGAATCTTCAATACAATGGATGGGTCTCGTTTACAAGAAGTAGGTTACTACAAAATGGATTTCATTATTATGATAACCCACTGCCATGTCTACTTTACTGCATTGGATTTTTCTATTTTGGGAATTTTAATTTTCTCATCTGCATATTATTATTTGAATTGACTTCTTCTTCTTCTTTTTTCTTTTCTGTAATACTGTTTTAGTGAAAAGTTTTCATATTTCTCTTATCTTGATTGAAAGTAGGAAAACAAAACAAACTATCCTGCTCTAGAATTAGACATCTTGTACACAAGCTCCATCTATTATTGCAAATTGTTTATTGTTTTTGTTCACACATTCTTTCTTGATCATTTCTAAATCTTTATAGGATATACTGAACTCCTTTGCAACTTTTGGATGTCTCCTCACATTTTAGCATGTTTTGTAGTTACACTTTTTCACATTTCTTATAAAAGGAAACGTTTACATGTTAATAGTCTTGGCTGGCCACAAAAATTCTGAAATTATAAATTTTTTAGTAGACATTGCTTTGATCTTCTCTACCAAATTTCCTCCTTTATTTTCATTTTCTATCATCCGTTATCTCTTTCTTGTAGGTAAGAAGAGGGGTGGATAGAGCTGAAATCAACAGTTTAGCTCTGTCTCCAAATGTCCAGTGGTTGGCAGCATCAAGTGACAAAGGCACTGTTCATGTATTCAGCTTGAGAGTGAGGGTGTCTGGGGAGGATAGTTTGACTCAGCCAAATGCTACCCAAGGACCAGCACTGTTTCATCAGAATTCTTCAACTTCTCTGGATCCGTTGATTTCCCCAAATACTGGTGCCAACCCCAATTCATCATTATCTTTCATGAGAGGTAAAATAGATTTTGTCAGCACTTGGAGAATTTGGAGATTCAATCATTTTATCTAGTTCACCCATTTGAATCCAGGGAGCTACAGTGTGTATGATTTTTTAAAATGATAATTTGTAGGCCTTTATGTGGATGAAAAATTAGATGGAATCATTTAATCCACATCAAGTCAGCTATCTGAACTGTGCTGTTTTTATACAACTATACAAGTGGTGGGTATAAAATGTGATGACGCATTCATGATAAAAGATCGTCACCCTCCTCAGTCCATAGGATGAGGTTGTGTGTGCATGTGGCCCTGTTCTAATCATTAGTTCCTTTATGAGACACAAAAAATCAGTTTCTTCAGGTCCATTAGATTTACCTTTGGATTTGCATGGGATTATGTCAGTACTTTTCTACACAAATCTGAATCAATGTCTCTGTATGTTAGTGTGTGTGTCTTAATGTAAGAGTTGTTGACATAGCATTACCCTTATCAGAATCAAACCCTTGCAAAGCATTGCTGTATGAACATCATCTTCTCTTACAGAACCCTTATCTTTTAAGGATATGAGGTTTCTGTTCTCTAAATCTACTCATGATTCTGAAGTTTATTTTTAAGATGGGAAATTGAACAATATTCCTGGTACATTTATTTTTGTGCTCACCATTTTTCCTTGACCAAATTGTAGGAGTCTTACCAAAATATTTTAGCTCAGAATGGTCATTCGCACAGTTCCACTTGCCTGAAAATACTCATTTCATTGTGGCATTTGGATCTCAGAACACCGTCATAATTGTTGGCATGGATGGGAGGTATGTGTATCTATCATCATCCTACTATTATCATCAGCTCATCGGTTGTGTGTGTTCCACTCATCTCTATTCTTAAATGGAATTGTTGATCTTCAAAATTTTCTAAAAAAGTTGAGGTAAACACAATATCTTAGTGATGCACGCTGTTGAGATTAATGGCTAATTTAGAGCGTCTATAGTGGTGATCACGGTAACTTATATCATTGAATAAACTTTTGCAGAGTGCAAATTTATGAAGTGGTGTTCATGCATATTAAAATTAAATTAGGATAAAGAAGACGTTCGTGAGTTTTAATCTAATAGTTGACATTTACTTATATTCTGAAAGTATATTGTTTGATAACATGAGGGCAAGCCTTGACACAATGGTAAAGTTGTTGCCTCATGACAGGTTCAAATCTTGAAAATAGTGTCTCTGCTTATAGGGATCATGTTGCATACAAAAATAGTCTCTCTCCCCAGATTGAGCTAGGTGTGAATTTCAAGCACTTGGTTTCCCTTTAGTTTTTGTTTAAATAAATTAGACTAATGAAGTTCCACTTGATTTTAAAATTCTATGAAATTATACAAAAAACTATTTTATGGAGTTGGTGGATTCTCACCCGTACACACATATATAATGTACTCAAATACAGAGAAAGTTTAAGTAGCTTCTTCTATACAATCATTGTTTCTGTATTGTTTATTTTCCTACACTCCCCTCTTGTTTTGAAGTTGATTGCGATTGTATGTGATGAGTTCATTAGCTGCAAAAGGAGATAATTAAATTTATAACACTATTTAGTGCATGTCCCTTCTCTATTACTTCCTTTTAGCCTCTTCAAGATCGCTTAAGGAAATTAGTTCTCACCATTCTTGTCAACCTAGCTCACAAACCGTACTTTCTTTTTTTCCATGTGATATCAGTTTCTACAGATGTAGCTTTGATCCAGTACAAGGGGGAGAGATGGTGCAGCAGGAGTATGTTCGTTTCCTAAAATTTGAAAATAGACCAATATAAACTATTTCAAGTTGCTCAACATGTTTGCCAAGCAGTAAGCTATTCTCAAGCCATGTAAATGTGTCCAGCACCAGGTCATAAACTGTTATTATCATGTGTAAATATGATTCCCCCGTACTGGAGGATCTTGAGATAGTACATGTTGTATATCTTGTATATTTTGGGGAAAAAGGAAATGAAATTGAATTTAGGAATGCTGATAGCAACAGCTTAATCACAAATAAATCACTAACATCTCTTACTACGTACTAACACCGTTGCATGGGAAATTTTGCTGAAGTATTCTGTCATGATACATGGGTCACTTGGCTTATACATATATATGTATCAGCTCAGGTTGCGTTTGGGGCACCTAAATAGTATAAGCTACTTGGATGAGATCTGATAATATAAAGAAACTGATAGACTTATAAATTATTGTGCATTTTGAACACAGGGTAAGTACGAAGTAACATGAAAAAGTCATGGCTAATCTTTGTCAATGGAATAAAAAACCACTAACCTTGTAGAGAGGCCTTCTTCCAGGGTGGGGGGAAAAAAAAACCTGCCATTTGTTTTCTGAAACAGAGTTGTAGATGAAGAATCAACAGAATCCGTGAAACTAGAGACCCCATTTTCACGCTTTTTAAGAGCATTTCCAATGATATAACTCATTGGTGTTACCTTTATTATTTATAATTTTTTTATAGTTCTCACTATGTCACCTTTTTTCCCTTAACTTTATGGGATTTAATGAATCGTTTCTTCTAATGGTAGAATTTTAGGTTAACCACTCTCCATTTATGCAATTGTCACATGAATTGGTGACCATTTGCAACAAGTGAAATTGGTGGTCTTTTTTATAATAACAATGCATCTTTAAAAATTATTTATTAAAATAATATTATTTTAAAAGTAATTACTAAAACCAGTGCATTCGATGATATTAAAGAAGTGTTGAGTAAAAATAATAGACATAAAACACTAGAATGATACACATGCATGGTCTAATATGTTGCACATTTTTTATGTAAACTACATACTAGATTGCAATGTACCATATTTTAAGTGGGCTGTGCTCATTATTTTTACTTGACACTTGAGTATCACATCTTTCTAAGGTGCATAATATTTTTCTATAAATTTTTGCCCATTCGAACAAAAACTTTAAACGTAAAATATAATATAATTGTTAAATATATAATACAACTATGACACCTCTAACTAAAAAGGACAATTAGAAGAAAAAGTCATCCTACTTGCCCGGAAGTTAAAGCTTATAACAAACAGTCATTCTACCAAGGATCCAACCTTGGACTTCCAATATATGTTCAGTGTTCACTGTTAGAATAAATAAATCTTAGGACATTGGTACCATATTATCTGATAATATTAGTTTATCCTATCAGCTTCTTATACAAATATTCCAAACACAGCATCCACGGTACGTGTCTTTTTTATTATAACCTAATTAAGGTTGTTGTCATATGTATCACTTTAGCCATGTGTGTTTATATTTGAATTCTTGTTCTTCAATCTTAGACGAGGCTTGGCGGTAATAAAATGTGACTTTTGTCCTACAAATACGAAACTTCAGGAATGAATGAGTAATGTTTAAAGTTTTTTTTTTTAAAACATATAAATTGAAGTGAACGCTATTGGCCTAAACAAGATAATCAATCAGAAGCACAGGCTGAGCACAGGAAACGATTACTACACAATTTTTATGACACGTCCAAAACAGTTATAAAGCGTCAATGGTTGAGAGAAAAACAGAAAATTTAATGAATCAGAGAACTGTTGGCACCTAAAGTTTCTTATCATAGAAGAATGTAAAAATTAACCTCGCTCCGTAGCAATAGAGTAGACAGCTTTGAGTTTGGGGCATTGTATAAAAATGTTCACGTAAGCGGTACTAAATTTTGTGAAAAAAAAAATCTTCCCAATAAAGTAAAGATTTTACATAACGTTGTGGAGACTTCAAGGGTAATGTTTTTTGTACATAATTTTGGCAATTATTGCTCCTTGTATTTTTGTTTTGCCATGTACTAACTTCTCTTAGTCGCTACACAATTTCAATCAAAGCATAATTTTGGCAGGGTCACAGCTTAGATCTTGTAAATTTCTCGTCAAAAACAATCATCACCTTTCCAATAACTTTCCTATCTCTGATGGCAGCAAAGGCGAGGTTGGCCTGCAAGGATAAGAAATTGTTTCAACAACCTAGTACTAGGCCCCACTGAAAATCTATAAAGCACATATGTGGATGAAGAGGCAAGTGGTACAAGATTTCTAAACGTAAATAATTGCCAAAATCAATTTTATACACAAACACACACACACACACACATACATCATCAGATGAAGGAGAAAAAAGAGTAGTAAGTAGAAATGCTGAGATCATTCACCGTGGTCTCAATGTTTTCCTGATGGTAACAAAGCAAAAGTATGCAACTACAATTTTTTTTCATATTTCCTTAATCCCTATGTTATGAGGAAGAAATCAAATAGATTCTTTATTTCACCTCCTGTCTTGACTCGGCCTACCTCAATATTTTTTATCTAAACATTTAATCTCAAACTAAACGTGATCAAGTCCGTTTTCAATAGTTATTCTACATTTGTAATGATATCTTAGTATAACCTAGGAAAATCTCATGACACCCCAATTCCATATCATGAGTCACGTAACACTCCCATGGGCAACACAACGACATCAGTCTTAAAGAGAAGGCATTAAATCAGTACTCAAACTGCAGTAGGGATGGACAGATGGCAACCAGTGCCACCGCCAGTTAAACTGAAGTAAATATTGAACCTGAATATAGTCAGTAAACATACTGATTTTGATGTAATGAATAGTGAACTATGCCCACAAAAAAAAGAAAAAAAACCTTCTAAGGGTAAAAGCAGCAGTGAAATCTCTTTAAAAGTTAAAACAAATGGTTAAGTCTTGAAATGCGTATAGAATCAGAGAAAAGAGAAAGAAACACAAATTAGTAGAACAGTTTTGATAAATAAATTCCTGACCTCTGACAGACGGTAAGAATGAGAAATATGGATGGAAATCAAGCCCCTTGCCAACCAAGACAACAGTTCCTTTATAGAATCTTCGAGAACATCTGGGCAGTGTATTTTGTAGCTACCCCAATAGAGGCCATGCACTGTCCAATTCTGGAACAATGATTTTAAACAAAAGCAATCATAACCCAGAAATCATACTGAATTAATGAGAGTATATATCGCAGGCAGCAAAAACAAAGAAATCAAAAGTCATATGAATGGAGCTATGGTATGTTCTTTTATTTATATGGGATTTTATCATATTTATCAGTGGCTGGTTATTTAGTTTGGGCCTCAAGTTGGCTCCCACATAAGTGATGTGCTAAGTTATCAAATAGAAACTGAATAAGGAATATTTAGAGAACCCTATCTGTCGAGTAATGAGATATATATCTTAGGTGCCTTGGTCTTCTTCCTATCATCGTCTGACTTTTTCAGACTCTCTTCATTAATAAGACCAATAAGCAAGCCAAACAGAATTCCCCCAATCTTAGAGCCCTAAATCATCTTTTCCCATTACCTAAAAGAATCATCCTTTTCTTAAATTCACCCTAATTCCAATGTAATCTTAAAGTGAAGTTTGCAGGTAAATGTCATAATTCACAACCCAGGAACAAGACTTAGACCAGTCGTTTTGGGATAAAATAGAAAGATACTGCATCTTCCTGGCTTTTTGTTTGGCTCCAGGATTTTTGCTGCTCTTAATGCATAGCATAAAGTAACAATTGTTTTAGAATGATTATTTTCAGTTTCATTTGTCTAAAGGAAAAGAAAATGAAAGAACAATTTATCATGTTGCAATAATACATGTTACTTAATGCCCAATACTATGTTTCATAGAAAGCCAGATTAAGCATTTTCATCAATACATGCAAATAACTGATATATACAATTATGCACAGTCATTCAGGATGCCCAGGCCAACTTAGATTTGTGTCTACATGATGATGAATATTCAGGTTACTGGTGAAAATATATGAAGGCTAATTAAAAGCCTTAGCCAGCAATTTAACAATGCTTCACAAGGAAGAAGTATAATGAGTAATGCACAAATTGTATTTATGGAATGACCTGGGCACATGTAATTGAGGACACTACTTTGAGAAGCCAAGTTGGGAGTTCTTGGGGTTTGCTAAACAACAGATGCAACATTTGTTAGATTAAGTGATAGCAAAGAGTAGAAAGAAGAGATTAAATCAATGCAATGGTCAATTTTCAGGTACTCAGTTGTGCTTCCCTCCAAATCCCTTCCCAATTAATTTCAAATTATTTGTCGCACAATGTGATCTTAAATTCAATGTCCATGTGAAAAAAGCATGACTAGATCAAGCAACAAGCATAAAATAATTTAAGCCTGAAGCTCCATTCCTGCTGTACCTTAACAAGAGCAATGTTAGCAGGGATGACAGGAATTTCTCCACTTGCGAACCCAATTATTAGAATGTTAGCTCCCCATTTCAGAAGCCGCAAAGATTCTTTAGCAAGCTTGCCTCCAACTGGGTCATAGAGGACATCAATCCCCTTAAGCCTTCTGGCCTGAAGGAACTCCTTGACACTCTGCATAAAATTTCCATCACTCAAGTCCACCACATGATCAACACCAAGCGATTTCAAGAGCTTCACCTTCTCAGCTCCCCTAACACCACCAGATCATGCAAAACAAGAAAGACTGAAACTTAACTCCAAGGGATACTCACCAGGTAGATAGGAATAATCATTAGAATGCAATCATGGCATTATGTCACATGCAACCCAAACATGAAAATGTGAAAAACAACTCACTACCTAGCCACAGCAATGACAATGGCACCACATGCTTTTCCAATCTGCACAGCTGCAAGGCCCACACCACCAGCTGCCCCCAAAACCAACAACACCTACAACCCCATAACCACAACCCAGTTAAGTTAACCGCACAAAGAGACAGAACAACATACATTATTATCATCATATATATATATATATGAGTAAGTACTCGCACATAGGGGCATTTGGGTACACAACTTAATTAAGTACTTATTCAATAAGTTTTTTTTTCTTAAATTATGGCTTATGCCATAAATTTAACCATGAAACTTAATAGTATAAGCTGAAAAGAGCTAAACTATTTCTATAAGCCGTTCATTAGGTCTTTCAAACAGGGCCATACCTAACAACAAGGGAAGCAAAGGATAGATACCTGGCCAGATGTCAATTTAGCCCTATGGAGGAGTGCAACATGAGAAGTACCAAACGCCACAGCAAGTGCTCCAGCAGCAACAAGATCACAACCTTTTGGCACTCGAAACCTTAAAAATTCAAACTTAAACACGCGAGCATTGAGAATTAATAAAATGTAACAACACTAAAACGCTGGAGAAGAAGAATCTCACAATTGGGACTCGTCAACGACAACGAACTCCGCGAAAGTGCCGAGACTGGCGAAGGAGCAAACAGGGTCTCCGACACGAAAGTTGGAAACTTTTGGGCCAACAGCTTCGACGAAGCCAGAAAAATCGGAGCCAGGGATGAATGGGAGAGGGGATTTCTCTTGGTACTTTCCGAGCATCTGCAAGTAGTTGGCGAAGTTCAAGCTTGTGGCTTTGATTCTGACTCTTACGGAAGTGGGAGAATTGAGTTGAGGGATTGGGTGATTCTTTGACACAACTATTGGGCTCGAATTTTCTTCCAAACCCACCGTTGGGTCACCCAATTTTGTGCACAACAGTGCTTCCATTTCCGAACGTTGTTGTTTGATTTCACGTCTGTTGATTTCCCAGGGTTGTGTTCCCCTCCCTTGCCCTTCGATTCTACTCTTTCCTTGTGTTCACCGTATTAAAAACTGTAACCAATTCACAGGTCAATGTGCACTTTAATACTTTTTAGTTTTTAGTTTCTAAATCCAAAATATATAAATTATTCGTTACATGTCTAAATATATTTGCTTAGAATAAGACTCAATAATAACAGAAACGTAGATGATGGTAACAACATCGATCACATTATCAAATCAGAGGTGGAGGTAGTTGATACTTCTATTCTAAGATGTTTCAGGACCTGCCCTCTAACCTTATACATCCATGACCATTGTCAGAGTCAAATTCTTATTCTATCACAACCTTATGAAGGATGTTTTTAGGATAGGATTTTAATTTTAATTTTAATTTTAATTTTTTTTAAATTAAATGATCACAAGTTTCAACTTCATTAATTTCATGAACTTAACCCTAGCTTATTATATAATTTTAAAAATAAAAACATATGGGTAATGAAATCCATCAAATTTGAAAATATCATAAAATTTATAATTTTTTAAATAAAAGTTATATTTTCATAATTTTTACAACTAAAAAAAACTAACCTAAACCTCAGGTTAATATAATATAAAATTTATAATAAAAATAAAATAAAATATTAATATTTATAAATAAAAAGTTACTATCTAAAAAATAAACAATAGATGAGCTATTTTACTTTATAATTCACCATGTGTATATTTTAAATTAAAAATTATCAATAATGATGTGTGAATTATATTTTTTTGTTATAATTATTTTATTCTTTATCAATATTCTTGTTAATTTAATTTAAAATATAACAATTTATTCTTTAATTAAAAAAATTATATATATATATATATATATATATATAACATTTTTTTATCTTCAAGTTAAAGTGTGAAATCTCTTCAAATTTAGAGGGTTCGTTCGAAGTGTATATATTTAGCATGAGACTGTTTATATATTTTATGACCCTTTTATGTTGTGCACATTACAATTTCATATTTTATATAATATTACATAGAAAAAAAGAGGGGGGGGGGGGTCTTAATTGTATTTAATAGTTAAAAATTAATTTGACTGAATGGGATGATTGCGGGCACTATTGTTTTCTGGTTATTAGTTGCTGGTAGTGGTACGGATTCTATCTGTTTAGATGAAGCATTAAGCTTAATCTGGAACGAGTTGGAAGAGAAAGTGACACGAAAGTTGAAGCGACTTGATGATGAGAATGAAATTGGGCGTGTTTTCTGGGGAATTGGGGTTCCTTACCCCTTCTCCCACTCCTTTTTTATCCCATCGTTGCATTACCTCTACACTCTCATATATACACAAGCACCCTTCTCCTCTAATATTTGCTTCGTACCCTCGTAAGAATAGCTTCGTTGCTTTTGCTTCTTCAGCTCCATCAGTTAGCGGTTCTGGTGCTGAATATTCAGGTATATTTCTCTTCTATTTTCATTTACTGAAATACTTCATCATCTCTTCTTTAATGTAATTTAATGTTTTTTTGTAGTTTCATGAATTTGTTTTGCCTTTTTTTAATGGAAAAAAATCAGTGAAGTGTAGGAGAAATCAAGTATCAAGCCCACATAAGTCCTCTCATTTTCTGTACTTTAATGTTGGTTCCCTGAACAAACTAGCCACTAGGAGAAAAGAAATGAAACCAAAAAATGAAAGCTTTTCATTGGTATTTTTTCTGGCAAATGCTAATAAGCGTCTTAAAAAGTAGAAATTTTTTGTTGAAAAATGTTATAAATGTACTTCCCCATGATTTCCAGTGCATCAAAATGTAATTAAATTTCTTAATAGTGTCAAACAATCGTTAGCAAGACCCCCTTTTTTTTATTATGGGAAGGTCGTTGTTGCTAGGTTACTTACACGAGTGTTTTATGTTGAACCCCATTTCTCCAGAGCAGTTGTTGGATGTAGGAGCGAAAAAGAAAAAGAAGGAGATAGCTGGCATTGATCAGGATGAATTAGTGGATCCAAAGGTTTTAGCTGATCTTGACAGTTGTTTTTGTGAGTTCAAAGGAGTGCATATACACCACAAGATATGTGATGCTGAATCCCAAGCGCAGAGCGTGGTGCAGAATCAGATTGGTTCTCATCAAATCAAGAAGCTAGGGTTTCCTATGATTCTGTTACATGGTTTTGGAGCCTCAGTTTTCTCATGGAAACAAGTTATGAAGCCTTTGGCAGTGGTTATTGGCTCAAAAGTTCTTGCTTTTGATAGACCAGCCTTTGGATTGACATCAAGAGTAAATTTATCGAAGCCTCTTTCTTCAGAAGCAGGAGATGCAAAACCTCTAAATGCGTACTCAATGACATTTTCAGTCCTTGCTACCTTGCACTTCATTGATTTATTAAATGCTGAGAAGGCAATTCTAGTGGGGTATGTGAATATTCTGTCTTCTGTTTTGCTAAGTGGCTTTATTTTTCTGAGGTATCAAATGATTTTCTTCAACCAAAGTGGAGCTCCTCATAGTTATAAGATCAACAGTTGCATAGGCGATTATAAGTTGTTTTTGTTTGATTGTCATATATTTATGTGTTGCTGCATTAATATGATTGTCATTTTTCAAATCAAGAATGTTAAATAGATTAGCCTTTCTTTTTCACCATTCTGAATTAGTAGACAGTCATCATGATATTACAAGATCAGACATTAGTAACATGAATGCCCCCTGTAGTCCAAAAACATATACATATATTTCTAGTGACCTTTTTTCTCATTTTTTTTTCATATTAACATTTTCTCCATTGAAGCCAGATTTCAGTGCTGTATAACTGGCAATCAAATAATAATAACATAAAGAAATATATTCTCATATGCCTCTGCACCATAGTCCCTTTTTTAGAGGCTGAGATGTCTCCAAAATGACATTCCAGGCACTCAGCTGGTTCACTTGTTGCAGTTAATACATATTTTGAAGCTCCTGAACGTGTTGCTGCTCTGATCCTAGTTGCCCCAGCAATATTTGCCCCACTTACTACACCCAGAACTGTTAAAGAAAATAAATCAAGACATGATAACCAAATTAAAGATGACAACAGTTCTATCAGAAAAAATCCAATTTTTGGGCTTTACAAGATGTTGTCCAAGATTACCAAGTACATTGCAGAGGCAATAACACAGATGATGAAGCAAATGACAAATATGTTCAACTTCTTGTATAGGAAATTGTTATCAGCTATCCTGCGTTCTTCCCTTGCTATAATGCTGGTAATAAACTTGTTTTGGTAATGCAATACCAATCTCATTTGAGTCATGTTAACCTTGTCATTTTAATCATTATTGGAAATATACTAATCTAATAGAATGAGAAATTGTTGGTTCAACAGCTACTAGATTGAACTAATGAAAACCTTTCCAACAAGTTTGTATTCCATATATTATTTCCTTTTAGCCAGTTTTAGTAATTCACAGCTTGAAATGTAAAATTGATGTACATATTTTAAGCTACATAAGGAAAATTTGGTTAGATTGTGTCTGGTTGGATTAGTCTTGCATTAGTTTGGCTTCTGAGTTTAGTTTGTTAGACTGTACTTCTCAAACGGCCACTATCAATAATTTGTCATGTGTCATGACCCCTGGACTGATGGCCCCTTTTTCTCATGAATCTCAGGTAAGAATGGCAATTGATAAGTTTGGTACTGCTGCTGTTCGAAATTCATGGTATGACCCAAAACAGGTATCTGAGCACGTTCTTAGCGGATATACAAAGGTAATCTCACTGTGATTTTCTATTTTTTTTTTATTTATTTTTTCTATTTTCCATCCTACTCAAATAGTTAGTGCTCACCTGGTTGTTATCACTAAATGCAGCCATTGAGGACTAAGGATTGGGATAGGGCACTTGTAGAATACACTGCAGCAATGCTTCTGGATGAGGAATCTAAAACAAAGACATCACTTTCTGATAGACTTCATAAAATATCATGTCCTGGTGTGTCAGTACTCCTATATATGTCCACTTTTATTTGCCTTTCTTTTTTCCCTCGACCTTTGAATAACTGATCAGGAAGAATATTGATAGGCTGTGGGAGAGATGGAAACCATCTTAGAATGATTTCAAAATGTCAGTTTTTGGTGGCAATGAATAGGTTAACTGGTTTATGCTTTGACTTGATATTAACCAAGATGGAATGAGGCTCATGTCTTATTTATACTCTAATCAGTGAATTCACTGGATATTTTTGTGTTAAAATTAAATATGGATCATTGGGATGTTTAATTTACAGAATATAGATGCTAAGTGCCAGAATCGATGTCACTTAAAGATTTTCTACAAACTTGGCAAATCAATTAACGCAATTTTTATTTATTGATTTGTTATGTAATTACTGGTGCATGTCCATGCATTGTTTTTGGTTGATTCTTGTTCCTGGATTCATGTTGTATCATGTATCTCTTTCCGCTAAAACCTTCTTGATAGATTTGAATTGAATATTGAGCATAATTGTTTTGACTGAAGCAGTTCTGATTATAACTGGTGACACTGATCGACTGGTCCCTTCATGGAATGCTGAGAGACTTTCACGAGTCATACCAGCAGCATCTTTTGAAGTAATTAAGCAATGTGGCCATCTGCCCCATGAAGAAAAAGTGGAGGAGTTTATTTCAATTGTTGAAAACTTCCTAAGGAGATTAGTGGGTGATTCGAACGAACAATATGCACAATCTGCTGTAATCTGAAATTTTTACCACTACAGTTTCCTGTTTTATTTCATAGAAGAAGATACATATTATATAGGCAGACCCTCTTTGCAGTTTTATCGGATGGATAAAGATTCATTGAAGGTGAATCGATGCATACTCATTAAATTCATCAAGCAGGATGATCTCTGACTCTGTCTAGCAGTTGGAAAAATGCTGTAAGCAATAACCTATAATTCTATGTTATATTATATTGCTGCTAGCCTGCCATAGTACAAGATGAAATCCTCTTTATAGGTTACCTGCTTCAAAGATTTGTAAATCCACTTATACCATTGGCCATTTAGCCTGGCAGAGATGTCTCTTGGATGCAACAAAGACTTCATTTAACAAGTGTTCTTAAATAATGTATTTGATTTTGGGATGTGGATAAACTGCAGGGAGTGCAGTACATGAACCAGGCATTCAATTTATTTAATTGCAGTTTTTTAAAATTATTATACAATAAAAATATTAATAGACTGGATCTTGAACAGTTCATGATCCATGATTTTGATATTAACTACCCTTGTAAAAGATATTAGCATGAAGCTATTGAAAGATAAGTTCTTACTGAGAGAAAATATTGCCAGTTACAAAGAAAAATAATAAATGACTTGATCTTTCAGACCCATCAGCAAAACTAATACTTCCTTTAGGGGTTGTTCACAAGGGAGTTTTTGGAGAAAATAGGAAAGGAAGTTTTTTTTTTTTTTTAAATTTAACAAAATTATATATTTTTTTATGAGAATAAATACATGGTTATAATGTTTTATAACACTAATTTAAAACATTATTAAATTAAAATATATTTATTTAAAATACAAAGTTTTCCCTCCTTGCCACTCTCCTCCAAAACCTCAAATAATCTTAGTGTATAACCGGTTCTCAAATAATCTCTTAGTGTAGGCTTTATCCATCCAAATATGATTACTTAAGCTGATTAATGCATGTTCAGAAAGGAGGATCGATTCCTATGTTAAGAGGAGCATCTCCTAGGTCTGAAGGAACATCAAATCCTGACATGAAGTCATCACCAAATATCACAGCACCAGCTGCCAATGCCTCAGCCCCTATTCCCATTGCAAAACCTGGAGGTATACTCTGACTGGGGGCTCCAATGTATGAGGGCATGTCTGTGTAGCTTGGAGGGAAGCCATCATTTCTTGGAAGAAAAGTGGGAATATAACCAACATTTGAGGGTGGGGATGGGGGTCGAGGTGTTCTAGTTCTAGGCAGTAGATAGCTTGATCCAGTAGCCTCATAGTAGCTTGGTTCACCCACATATTGGTCAGAATAGTTGGTGGAAGTGAAGGGCGTTGAATGGGAGTCTGGGAAGTTTGCTAGTCCATGATTTTCTGGCTGATGGATTGAAGCTTGAGGCTTCTCCGGGTAGGCATGCCTTAACCCTCCCTGTGTTGTCGATTGGCTACTGTAGCAATCATCTAAGATCACTGTTCCTTCCTTGCTACCTACAAAACAAATTCAAAGCCCAGGTTCAAGATTAGAATTTTCCAAAAAAGCTAGAGGTAAACTTCATATCAAATTAACCAACCCATTATAAATCATATTGGAATAAGAGAAAATAAGATACAAAATGCAGATAACAAAACAGCAACAGTGAAGCTGAAAGGCAATTTGCCTATAGGTTATGAAATAATCATACACCTGGGTGGGAATTTGGCTCTTCCTTTTCCTCAGAAATACGAATTGAAATATCAATGAAACCTCTTGGTTTGCTGGATTTCTTTTTTCGTAATCTGTAGCTTCCAACTTCCTCTTGCCTTGGTTTTGACACCTCAGAATTCTTTACCTTCTTGACAAGAAATTCTTTGAGAGCAACAATTGCTGAGCCATGAAACTTCTCCGTGAAGAATATGGGGTCTATGCTGTAAACTTCCACGTTCAGAGCCAACTTTTGGATGTCTGGCGCTGAGTCATTAACAGGAATGGCAAACTTTGTTCTCCAAACTGGGTTTGCACTCCCAGAATCAACAACTTTGGTGCAATATTTGGTGTCAACATCAATCCACCCAACAGCAAACCATTGACGTTTCCAAAGTGAGGTTGAATGCTGGAGTCCATGTGCAGATATCAAGCAAACCTCCACCCATATAATCCCCATAGAAAGTTTAGCAAAGGAAAATGCGATGTTGTCTCCTGTAAGCTTCTTTAGATAAGGGTGGCGCAGGAAAATAGATGAAATGAAGTAAACGTGTTTTGCAGTATTTAAAAGGATCCTTTACTTTGATATCAGAAAATTCTTATACCTAAACATCGTTTGGGGGCACCCTTATGCCAACTTTTTTTAGCCCCCTTGTGGAGTGCATCATGGCTAGATAGGAATCCGCTACACTCATGGGTGGGTTAATTTTTTTAGACCGGAAAAAAAAAGGTGGGTTAATTTTCATACGCGGAGGTAAAAACTTTAGCACATAAGAAAACTAGACCATAGAATATTGTTGATGATAATATAATCAGTATTCCACATTACAACAGTTCTCTGAAGATTTTGGTTATCAAATTAGTCTCTCAAGAGTCAAATTTATCCTTTTGTATTGCCACTTTAGTCTTTGTAAGGATATGTTTTGAAGAGATTAATTTGATGAAACAAAAATCGTTAATGGACTGACGAGTAGACATGAATCTTTAGACAGAAAAAAAAAATTGGCAGTTTACTAGGATGTGCTCTGTACAAAAATATGTGCTTCCAGAAGCCACAACATTATCCACATTTGCACTGAAAGAATGGGCAAAAGATCTTGCAATTTACCCATTTCCCTATCAATTGAATTTACATCTACTAAGAATTACATAAACAATGGCAAAGTCAAACCTCCAATAGTTGATCAGACAACAACCATGGTTTTGCTTGCTGATTACATAATGCAGCTTGACTCTCTTTTACACTATGGTTTTTGAAGATTCGTAGGGTCCCTCAAGAAGAGGTGGAACCAACAATAGCTTTCAGCCTGCACGAGTAACGCTCTGTTCACCTTCCTGGGATGTTAATGAAGCAGTTCTCGTGTACATCATGGTAGTAGAACCCAAAATGTCATCTCCGAATCCACATGCCTTAAAAAATAACCTGACAAAAGTAAAGAACATCATTAGCTATCCACAGAGAAATAAGATTAGGCACTATATAAGGATAATGAACAACCTTTCATTCTCTGAGCAAAGGGCTGCTATATCATAGATGTCTCTATTTGTAAGCATTCTGCAAAAGGAATAAGTCATATTTAGATAATTGGAGCCTTGGGTGTCTTATCTTTAATGAAAAAGAAAAATAGAAAGTACCACTACAAGTTCTAGAGCCAAGAAATGGGGGAAAAGGAGAGTACTCTTTATATATATAACTTCACATCCCAAAATATGAGTTTTAGAAAAAAAAAACTATTAGGAATATGAAAAATTTTAGCTGAAAATAATAACATCCTACAAGTTCTTGATGATTTTTGGTAGTTTAACTTTATTTTTTTAATTATTCTCTCTCTGAATCTCTGCAATGCACAAAAAATTTCGAGTTTTCATATTTTCATAATTTTTTCTAAAATTTTATACTTTGATACATATTATTTTTAAATACTATATAAAAAAACAAAAGGAGAATGATTTTATTTTCATTTTTACAGCATATTCAGTATATCACAATGCTACACCTAGGAGGAGATTTATGTGATCAAGCATAGATTCCGGATATCAAAACGAAACTCGAAAGCAAAAACTTGAACAGGACAATAACTTGATGATTAAGAGTTAAATCTCATCAACAAGTTGTCTGCTGCATACCTCACAATTTTTTTAACTATCATCTGACCGATTCCCAGTCTCCGCAGGGATGGAATAACCTGCAAGACACTGAAGCACGTTGATCCATGCACGTTAACCAAGGAACCGCTGACATGACAAAATCAAAACGGGAAAACGCTCAATGCAGTTTCCTAAACTTCACAGTGGACTTTGTAAAAATTTATGATTATAAGAATCTATCTACAGTGAATTATTAAATTTTATTAAAAAAAAAATTTTGCTATTAAAATTAATAACATTTTAAATGTAATAAAACTCAATGCATTAATAATATTAAATACTACAATTTTTAATATATTTTTTATTTTTTATTTTTAACATAAGTCATTAGATGCACATTAAAAAATTGTTTATAAAAATTGTTTATTATTCTAATAATTTTTAATATTATCTATAAAAAAAAATTAACGTATTGCATAACTATTTAATTAAGTTATTTATTTAACAAGGCATTTAAAAGGCTTTACTAACCAATGGCTTAACTTTTTATTAAATAATATATTAACAGTGCATTAAAAATAATAAGATAGTGCATTGTTATATTTTTAATAAAAATATTAATTTTAAAAAATATTAACAATTATTTTCAGAATATTAATTAATAAATAAATATTATTTAAAAAAGACTTACTTTTAAGATTTTTAATACATTTAAACATAATAATTAATAAAAAAATATTGTTTATTAATTTTTTAACCAATATCCTTTAATGTTTAACCAATGACGAACCTGACGAGGGGAGGGGTTGAAATTTACCATAAAAACACCCTTCATTCCTATTGATGAATTTTCCACTTTTAAGAGAAAAATGTTGGCAAGGGTTACCATGACATCGTAGATAGAAGCAGTAAGACCATAATCGGAAACTGCACGACCAAATCCCACTAATTGATCGCCGGAAGGAGAAACCGGCGTGAGGAAATCCGGCACAGGCAAGATTGAAGATGAAGAGTAATTAGCATCAGCAACAACGTTTACATGGTGAGGTTTGCAGAAGACGGAGACAAGCACGGCACTGTGACACAGAGCTATGCGAAGCTTTTGGATATCCACGGCTTCGCGTTGGTGCGGTAATCTGTGGCAAGAGTGATTGCAATCGGCGAAGAGGTCTCGAAGAAGGTGAGGATCGACGTGGCGTGGGTCGGTGGAAATGAAAATTGGGAAAAGGCTCTTCTCAGGCTGTGAGATTTTGCTTATTCTTCTCCTTACCCATTTCAATTCCATCGATTTTGAAGCAAACCCCTCTATCGCACGTTTCTCTAACTGTATCTGTGTGTGACTGTGTAATGCAACTCCCATTGTTGCCACCATTTCTCTGTGCTTGCGCAACACACAAAAGTTTTGAATGGATAAAACTGAAATTGGCACGTTTCAGCCACCGGTGGAATGGAACTCAATTCTCACCAGTGTTTAATTTCTTGTCCAAATCACTATCTAATGTCACTTTTTTATTTTTCTGGTAAAAAGATCACATTTATTTTTGTTGTAGGATGCGTTTGGGCCCAAAAATGTAGAACTATCAACTCAGCAGCCCGGCCCATTCAGGTTGAGTCACAGTGGGTAAGTAAATTTTTCGAGTTAAATAAATTACAAGCTAAATATCTATTAGCATAGGCCATTGCAAGCTATAACCCTTGTATTTGATTCTTAAAACATTTATTATGTTTAATAATATAGTATCGCATTTAACTTTTTATCAAGAGTTTAATTTTAGTGAATTATTAGTGTTAATTCATTAAAATACACCATAAATATATTTTTTATATTAATTATTACGGAAATAAATATATTTATTAATATAAAAATATATGATTGGATGGTATAGAGTGTGGAAAGTAGTCCAAATTCTTTCTGGGTGATCCAACCATATATAAACCACTCAGACTTACTTGTACATTTTTTATGATAACGTACTATCTTACAATAACAAGTACTAACCATTTAAAATAAAAATTAAAGGCTAGGATTTTGCCCTGTAGAAATGAGTTGATCATTAGTTGCAACACATCTTCACCTGTTTGGTTTTCTCGTTTTATGCACGAATGCCACTAATAGAATCATGATGCTTGGGGTGTGACTATATATACATACAAATGATTAAACATTGATACTAGCTATAACTGGATAAATATGTAAAAGGAAAAATTAAAGCCAAGAAGAAACTCTTCTATATCCTAAGCAATAGTTTTATATCTTAACACCCAACATACACACGCACGTATGCAAAAGAAAAACCAAAAGCTTGCACGTTAAAGTTGACTTATTTGTGTCATCATCTCCGATGGGGTCAAATCTTCTGAATGCGAATATATACACCATGTCCTGGTTCTACAATCATTCTATACGCTGGAGAATGCCTATAACTAGGGGACAGAGAGAAGCTGAACTTGGAGATGATAAGGGATAGCACAACCTTCAATTGAACCATTGCAAAGTTCTTCCCCAAACACAAGCGAGTACCCAACCCAAATGGCACATACGCATGTGGAAACTTGCAAGCCTTAGAGACACCCTCACTGAACCTTTCTGGTTTAAACTCATTAGCTTCTGGTCCCCATATTTCAGCATCTCTGTGCAACGTTGGGATCAGAGTCCATAAACAAACGCCTTTAGGCACAGTGATGTTTCCAATTTGGATATCTTCATATGCTTCCCTTGACACAAATGCTGCTGGTGGGTATAAACGTAGCACTTCTTGAATCACCATAGTCACCTGTAAGCAAATTTATCAGCGTAAAATAGTTTGTAAATTGCCAAAAGGGTAAGATTGGATCAGAGGCAAGCCTCTCCTTCCTCCTATCAGATTAGATTGATCAAAAGAAATAAAATACAATAAAATAATATTAAATTACATTGTTTAGATTGAAATAGAACAATGCATTTCATTTTATTCCATCCAATACCTTCTCTTTTTCCCTTCAATTTAAAGGTATTAGATGAAACTAATTTTTTCCCTCATTCTATCATAAAATTATTCAAACAATAAAGTAATAAACTTATTTTATTTCAATTCATTCCCTTCCATCTCATTTCACTCATCAAGGGAAGAAAGAAATAATTTATTCCTAAACAATAATTCTAAGAAAAACAATAAGATCACACAAATTAAACTTATTCTAATAATTAAAATCAAAGTTATGTATCTTAAAAAGTCAAGTAAAAAAAATTAAATTCATTAAGTTAACTTGTGAAAAAATAATTAATCTTAAAAAAATACTAACCTCATTCTTTATAGTTTGAACTTATGTAGTTAATAATAATAAAACTTTATTTTTTAACAATATTAATTACACTTTTATATCTTTAACGTAATAAATACATATTTTTTAATAAAATTTTACTATTTAAATGCTTAAAGTGAACTAAATACTGGTATTAACAAAATTTAAATTTTAATGACATCTTTAGTTTCTGTTGCTACAAATATTTATGGATTGACTTTATCCAAAATTGACCAATGTCACAAGAGTGTGTGTGCCAATTAAGTGAGGTGTTTCATAACATGATGAGGAGATGTTTATATATGGTTTTTCACAATCAAACTTAACGCTTACCGTCTTCAACATAGGAAGAGAATCAGCATCAGGTATGGCATTGGGGCAATGTTGAGCAACCTCATTCCTTATACGAGTTTGCCATTGAGGGTGTAAAGCAAGAAGCATCAAACACCATGAGGCTGCAACAGCAGTGGTTTCATGCCCAGCAAAGTATATGTTTTTGCAGTTATCCACAATGAATCGCTTCGAAAACTCCTTCCCTAGACTTTGATCCGTGATTGCTGCTTCCAGCAGTAACTGCATCAAATCTTTCTCAGATGAGGATGTCTCTGAACATTCTCTCTTCCGTTCCTCCACTAACTCCCAGATCAGTGACTCTATCTCTTTCTCCAGACTCGTTATCTCGTTTTGCTTCTTTGAAGTGAATTTCAGTTTCTCACTGCCATTAATTATCAATAAGCACACCAATGTTCTTAATTGCTCTTTGATCTGCATGCATATGGCTTTAAGATTTTTTCTTAAGAACTTTTAGAATGATTACATCCAAGGTTATTGGTTTTAAATAAAGATAATTTAGATAGAAATTAATTTTTCAATCATTATATGTGATGTTTTGGCAGAATGAAATAAATTTTTAGTTGAAAATTACTAAGATATTCAAATTTAGCGCCTATGTATAAATACTAATGTTCTTACCAATAACTTAATGGATTTAACTTAATTCAAATTTCACACAAATTATAAGGTGTTTTTATGTTAATTTAAATTTCAACCTAATTTATTATTAAAAAAATATATTTATATATACTATGTGGGGGCTTCTAATATACTCTCTTGTATTTTAGAATATGTGTATTAATAAGTTACACACTTAGAAGTATTTTATCACAATTAAATTATTTATTTAAAAAATAAATAAAACTATACTAACAAACTTATATTTATGTATGTACGTGCGTGTATTTTATCTATTTGATTATGATTAAATCAAGGCTTAATTACTTAATCATAAATTAATATAGCCAATAATTTAACGATTGGTTTTAATGTTTTTGCTATTTACTAATCTTGCATAGTAACATTTGTATGTGGCTTCATTTAATTTAAGTTTCACACTTGAAATTAAAAATTACAAATATCCATTATGTAAATATACTTTTAGTTTAGCTTTTCTCTCCGTTTCTTTTTATAAGACATAAAATAAAAAATTTTCTTAATTCTTATTATAAAAAATAAATAATAGATTCAAGATGCATTAATTATTAAAATTTTTTATATTATTCTTTTATTAGTATCATTAAATATACAAATTATTAACTACACTATTTAATATTATAGGTATTTTTAAAATAAAATTTATATTTATAAAAAAATATCAGACTTAATTATTTTTTTTTATTCTGATAATTTAATTTTTTATTTTTTATAAAAAAATTGAAAGTAGTATTAAAATAGCCTAAATTAATTTATTTAAATTAACTCATCGCTGGTTGTACTCGATATTGAACGGGTCTAACTCAACTCTCTTTGACAATGAGTTAAAAAAAAAAAAAAAGGTTAACTTGACTCGACTCACTGAGTAAGGTGAATCAGTTTATTGATTTTTAAAAAAAAAAGTATATATATAAAAATATAGAAAATTTAAAAATATCATAGAATTAAAAAAATTATTCACTATAATTTCTTAGGTAATATCTATTAAGTGAGACATACCGGAAACCGCTCCCAAAAAGAAAGCCTTGTTTGGACATTGCCTTCTGTATGCTTCTAAGCTTTGAGAAAACTTCCTTTCCTTTGGAATAAGAATGGCCGAAACAAACCCTTGAAATAACGTCAGCGGAGAAGCCCCTCAAATCTGCATCAACTTTAACCTCTGCAGTGCTTCCTCCTTCGCTCTCAATAAATCCCTCCCATTTTAGTAGTAATGGCTGCGCTGACTCTATCATTAGGCCCACCATACCCTGCCATTTTCATCATTTTTTCTTAAGATTCACTGTCCCTACCACGTTTTCATTCTAACACCATTAATATTGTGTTCAAAATAAATTAATGAATGATATTTTTTTATTAAAAATCACGTTGAAGTAGCACTTTTCTTTCATTGTAGAGATTTTTTATATATATATATAATATTTAAAAATAATGTATACCAAAATATGATATTTTGAATAAGTTATAAAAATTTAAAAATTTTAAAAAGTCTTAAAATTTGTCAATGATAATTATTTTAAAAATATTAAAATTTTAAAAAGTTAAAATTCAGTAATGGTAATTTAAAAAAAACAATGACGATTTTTTATATAAAAAACCTATATTTATATCCTAAATTATTATTAAAAATTATTACTCATATATATCTTCAATGTAATACATACTTCAGAAAATAATTTATTTTTTTGACCAGAAAAGCTAACATAAGCTGTGACGGTGCTGGTGGGGTACTATCCTAAAGCAAACAACAGGTGGAGAGGGGACAACCGTATCAATTTGTTTTATTTCATTTTCTTCTTCCCCAAACAATTAAATTAAAAATTAATTCCACCTTCTGTACAGAGCATGTACACTTGTTACAAGCACACCAATCACTCAGAAATATCATGCAAGATGATAACCTTTTACCTTGCTTATGTGGGGCTACTGCATATAAATGAAAGTTGCTATACAGCACAAATATGATTGTACAAATAATGTATAACTAGACTCTTCTGTATATATGTCACAAAGCAAGCTAGCTCCTAATAGGCAAAATTACCAGAAGAATCACTGCATGAAAATAGAAAACAGAAAACAAGATAATTGTCTTCTGTTTTTCAGAAAAAACAGAGCTTGTAATGTTGAATGAGTAAGTTAGTTAAAACTTCAAAGGCAGGACTCACAAAATTAACCGTTTAGACTAGTGTTAACCAGAAAAAGTGTACCTTAGAAAGAACGGACACCACCTTGGACATCAATATGATAATTAATACCAATACAGGGATATAATAAATTTTATAAGACACAAAATGAAAAAATCGAGCCATTGTAAATATAATAAAATGGTCAATTTATGTAACTATTGTAATATTTTTATCTATGTTGATATGAAAATAAAAATTAAAAATCAGAAACTGTAATCAAGAATATTTAAAGTGTTTGTCAAATGTTTATCGTGAATGCATGTACAATACAAATAAGACACATCAGAGTTACTATTTTAAGGTGTTCTTACCTTAATTTATTGACGTATTCATAAGTTTATAAATACTTTCCATGAATCTCCTCTCTCACTTGATTAAGTTAAGATTATACTCATTGGCATAAATAAAAATAATTAAGAGTTTAAAATTAATGGTAATGTTGGTTGTACATCAAAACTAAATTACTTTTTTATGCTAATTTTTGTAAAGGGATTGACCCAGCATGCAGATTCCACATATACACGTTAGTTTTCCTTATATTGGACAAAGAATCAATGTTTGAAAAGTTCCAATAATTTAAGAGTTACATAAAAAAATGAAAATAACGTAGTTCAAACATTAACTAGTTCCAATAGTTAATATAGAAACAAATCCAAGTAGTAAATACACAAGGGTATGAAATATTGACGACAGATAATTACTTATTTATATAAGAAAATGCTAACAAATATCTTGAAAACACTAGATAAAAAAAATATTTTATTGTAAAATGTAAAAAATACATTTATTTATGATTTTTAATATGTCTTAATATAATTTATGATAAAAACCTACTATTATACCTTAACTTTGTCCATGAAGAACTCAGCTGCAACAAGTTTCCTCTGGTGTGCCCAACTAAGCCCGTTGGCTCTCAAAATGCCATTGCCAAGCATAGGTGCAAGTTTGTTTGTTATGTAAGAAGGCTTACCCAAATCCAAAGTTATACTCTGATTTATTTCTCTCACTAGATCGGGTTGGTTCACATACAAATGTTGCTTCATCCCTGTAGAGTAAGTGTATAGCAGACCTGCAAAACGAGGTATTATAGCACTAACTAAATTCATGCCACCTAATCATTAATTGTTAGATGTAATAAATGTAACAGTGCACACCATATTGTGAAAATTTTGATCCTATAATAATGATAGAGAGAGATTTTATGTTGGCCCATTTATTAAATGGGACCCAATTTAGATAATCCGTACATAATCCTCTAACCATTGGCTAGTTGAGCTCCATTAACATATAGCAGTGATTAACTCTAACCTATAGTAGCCTACTTCAATGCAAATGAAATGTAGCCAACAAGACCCAAATTGAAACACAACAGCTGTAAAGTTGACAAATACAAATGTATTTGTCACTGTGGCTTGTACTAACTGATATATAAAATGGCCATTCACTAAGATCTGATATGAATCCAGACTGGGTGACTTTGGCCAGGACCACTTGATATTGGCTGCATTCTGAATTGTTTAGAAAATAAAAATAATAATTTTGCAGCAAAAAGTCTAACATGTTTAGCTCGAGATAATTTTGGAGAAATAATTATTTATTTTTAAAAATAAGCTGAACAAAAATATACACAAATTTCATTGAAGATAATTTACTCGTGTAAGATGTAGATTTCACACTGGTCAAAATTATTATGTGTTTATTTGTTAGATTTTCTTTTTCTTTTGCACTAAATAGTATATATCTTAAGAATAAAATTTCAATAACATAATATGCATTCTCAGCTGACAAGTGAAGAAACCTCTTGTTTTTGTGTCCAGTAAGCGGCAAGTGCAGGCAAGACAATAGTACAAATAGTCCAACACTGAGGGATATAATAATTGAAATAATAAATAATGATCAATTGCGATTGAAAGATAATTATCATGCAGCTATATTAAAATATTGTGTAGATTAATTCAGAATAGTTGAGAATGTTTAAGCATAATGCTTAATAATCACATAAAAGGAAGATCGCGAATATATCCCTGCTTTATTGGTCCATCAGATTATCATCTATTATTAGCTTTTAAAGTGTCAAGATCTTAATTTTGACATGTTAGCTTTAGAAAATCTCTGCTTTTTCTCTGCCATCCTAATCCCAATTTTCCCACTTGCAAACTATCAATCCAATAAAGACCAACCAGGAATGTTCAAAAAGACTGCTGTCATGTCTAAAACTTAACCAATTCGGTAGCACCAAACACATGAACACTGAGCTTTTTGCCCCTTTGGTTCACCCTTAAAGAAGAAAACATGCCAAAAACTACAAAAACGTGATAACCATAAATCTACACAATATTTCAACTCACTTGCACAGGTAGGCATATATGCACTTAGCTTGGCTTTCGGCAAAAGTTAGTAAGCTAGTTTTAGATTCATAATTGCGAAAGTCTGAAACCATTTGATACGCCCATAGCTTTTTCCATACTATACAGTATTAATATCGGTCTTGTTAACCAACATTTACTGGATATTTGTTGAAATTTTTAAAAAACATATTAATAAAATTTTGTTTTTAATTCTTTAATCAGTATCAAAAATACTTATTAGTATTTTCCTATTAATATATCTAAAACTTAACTAGATTTGTAATTATCTAACTTCCTCAGTCATAAATATCAGAGTTGTTTAAATTATATAAATATTTAATCAATATTAAAAAAACATGAATCGTTAAGATCGAGGAGACCCACAAGTTGACCTTTTGTTCAATCTACATACATATTCATTCATAAGCAAATTAATTATGTTGCTTGCACTAACTAAATGAAGTAATCATCTTCTTCCAGCCACTATCTAAAATTACTAAACTGCAAGAGTTCCTTTTTAACCATGAAACTAGGAGAAGAAGAAAAATAAGGAAAAGGGTAACTACCGTATTGTTTCCTCCAGTGTTCAAAATAGGGGAAGAGGGTTGCAGTGTAGTCATGTGCTAGAAACTGATCAGAATGATTGGAGGTAGTAGCTTTGGCTATGCTGGCCTGTGATTGAATTCTCTGCATATCAGGTAGATTCCCATGTAGAAAAGAAGGTGGAGGCCCTCTTATACCTTGCATTTGGAGCCTCTTTCTGACCCTTTGAGATTTCTGCCACAGATCACCATAAAGATAAAGTATCCAGCTCAAAATGCCCACAAGAGCAAGAGAAGAAGCCACTTTCATTAACAGAAACACCTCCTCCATCTCTCTCTTTTCTCTCTTCTCCTCTTTCTTTGACTCTAATAATTAAAGTGCTACCTTGCTAGGCACATAAATTAAGAATTACATATTAATATATAAGGGATAAGCAAAAGCTGATTGCTGCAGAATTTTATATGTATATTTATATATATATTTGAGCATAGACTAGAGAGAGGGAGAAAGAGAGAGGTGGCTTCAGTTCACACACACACACTAGCAATTGTTAATGAAAGATTCTATAAATAAGATCAGGTAAACATTCGCTTGGAAAGGGGACAAGAAGCTGCGAATAGTTCGACAACAGGAGAAGCCGGTGACATATGCAAAAGCTTTAACTATATGCATGAGTGTAATATGATATTATATGTGCACATGCTTTGATTGGTGGAAATACCTATGTTAATATCAGATAATATCCGGGGGATGAACATATGTTTATTTATTAATTAAAGGAAAATGTCTGTTGAATATTAAAATGAGAAATACAATAATTTTTTTATTTTGTAATATATTTTCAAGACAAGTGTATATAAAGAATAGATAATATAATGTGAAGATAATTATAAATAATATTACATATGATGTTAATTTTTATCGTTTAAATAATAAAATTATATATTAAATTATAAGTATATGAAATAAGGAGTAATATTTTTTTATACGTATTTTTATTTATACTATTCTTCTTAATTTATATTCTTAAATTTTCTTCTAATTATTAAAAATGTAAAAAAAATTGTATACAAATAGAATTTCTAGCTCTTTATAGTATCTGAATTTAATAAATTTTAATTCGTGTACAGTACACTGGACACTGCAGGTAGCATATTCCTTTTAGCTTTAAAGCAAAGAGATACCGACGTATTTGATGTAGAGAGATCGGTTCTGTTTACCTTTATTTTTCCTCTGTGATAGTTTTTATATTATTATATTGTTAGCGAGGATATATTTATATTAATGAACTTGCACCTTCACCACACCTCCAATTTCCCATTTCCTCTCTTTGATTTCACTAAAAAATTTTATACAAATTCAAATATTTTTAACTTAAATAAAATTTATGGAAAATTAATTGTAGGCATTTATTTTTCAGAGCATAATATTTCATGTCCTTTTAAAGGAATTATTTGCTATATTGGTAGTATTTCACTCCCTCACAGGTTAAGATGGGATGTCTTTGTCTAAAATTGATCATGTATATTAAACTTATGTATGACTTTGCACACATGCACACACTTTGCAACTTAATTGTGTCATTGAAATCAAATGTTCCAGTTCACCAGAAAAATCAACTGGTCCTTTTCAATTATTGTGATTGGATTTATTAGAGGCACAGTAGCCTGTATTGTAGTCTTTTTTTATACATAAAAAAAGTGATACATTTTTTAAATACGTGATTCAACATTTTTTTATAATTAATTTTTAAAAAAGTCAAAATAATTTGTAAAAAAATGTACTTTAAATAAATATTTTAAGTTTTTTAAAATAAATTAATCAAAAAATATATATATTACTAGATTTATAAAAGAATAAAAACAGGAGATAAACTTGACCGGGCGTGGACCCTAAAAACAAAATACTTTTGAGAAGCGAGAACTGGAGACTAGCGAGAGATGAAGAGGGGCCGAGGGGCATGCGCCTTCGATATCCAAACATGGTCTTCCACAGAGCAGACAATATTTTGCCAAGACATCTAAACTGTCTCATGGTCTTTTATATTTTATTTTATTTATTTGTTTTAGAAAATAACTACTTGTTTTTCTCTTTTTAATTTTTTTAGAAAATATAAAAAAATCAACTAAACCAAATGTATTGTTTTAAAATTAGTTTAAAATCAATTTCTATGATATCTACCCTAATTATTTTAAGTTTCATTTTTTATACTTGTTTTACGGCTTTATCTTCTTTTCTTTTTTTTTTTACATTATATTACTCTCTTTTTTTTCTCTTTTTATATCTCTTTCTTTTAGAACATATATAATTTCATAAGAGTGCTCAAATAAATTTTTTTTCATTAGAGCTAATTCAAATTTAGTGAAAGACTCGTTCTTTTACTGGACCTCCAATAATAGAAGATCTTTTCAAGCTGATTCTGCGCAAAATAGATCCTCCCAAATAAATGGACATATTCAATTTTTATCATCTCCAATAGGCAAGTTGTGCTTAAATTTTTTTAGGATTGAGATTCAAAACGTATTTTAATTAAGAGTAAGTTATATTTTTCTTTCTTAAAAAAATTAAAATATATTATGATTTAATTTATTATTTTATATGTTAGAATAATGTGTAATATATATATATATATATATATATGTGTGTGTGTGACTTTTTTATCAAAATATTTTTCTAATATTTATTAAACTTTCTCAATTTTTTAAAAAACTCAATGTGTTTTTTCTAAAATAATAAACAATTTTGTTGATATGAAAATTTTAAAAATTGGCATCAAATGATAAAATTAAAATTAAAATAATAATAAGAAAGACAAATTGCAAGTTTAACATATGTAAAGAAAATATAAAATGTAAAAATATTTTAAAAAATTAAAGCATTTAGATAAAAATTAAACTATAAATAAAAAATTAATAAATATAAACAAATATTTTATAGTATAGAGTTAAACCGGATGGGTAACCAAAAAAAAAGAAGGAAAAATATAATAGATTTAAATAAAAATTAAAAATTATTTGAATAAATTAAAAAATAAAAAATATTTACTTATTTGAATTAGTGAAAGAGAAAATTAAAAATAAATAAATAATAAAAAAGACACTAATTAAAAATAAAATTAAAAATATATTTTTTATTATAGTATTTTCTTCTTAATGTAAAAATATTTTTAAATTTTTATGTTATGAAAAAATAATTTTATATTTTAAACAATCAAATAAGAAAAATAAAACTTCTGCCATCTTCCCCCCTCCATTTCACAGTTTTTTAAATAAAAAAAATTTGTTGGTTGTTGATTTCACATACCATTATTATCTTTTTTTTTACTTTTATTCATTTTAATAATAATAATCTAATATTTCTTTCATAACTAATTTCTCTATTTCCTTCCATCTTATTTATCTTCCATCTTCTGCAATTGAAGGCTTTGCCCAAAGCTTATTCTGTATATATAATCATTTGTCCACCCTTTGAATGACTTTGCATGTTTTTCAATATGAATGACCATTTTCAGCTGTGGATTATATACAGACATGAAGATTTGCATCTGCTGTGAGCAAATTAATTACACGTAAGATCGTTCAATCTAATTTAATTTTCGTGGATTTTATTCAACCCTAAAATATCACAATCTTAGAATACCAAAAAGAAAAGGAGCCACGAATTTTACTTTAAATTCTGTACAAATAGTTATGGTAGAACTGGTTGATTATAAAAATAATAATTTTTAATCATACAATTATGTATGAATGGTTAAAATTAAATATTAATAGTTGATCACATAAATACTTAAAATAAGTATATAATATTATATGTGTGTGTGTGTATATATATATATATATATTAAAAATAAAAAGCTTATGATGAAATTGTTTGGCAATCATATGATATTTTTAACTTAAAAGTTACTCGTTTTTATCTCACTACTCTAAAGGAAAGCACATAAATTAAAATTATAATTAACTTTCTCATTCATATTAAAATTATTTGTAACTATTTAATGGGACTTCCACTGTTTTTCTCTCATTTATATTAAGTGTGTGAAATATTTAAAAATTAAATAAAAATAAAGATATATTGAAAGGTTAGTGATTGAATTTTTTAAAATAAGATATATTTTTCTTGTAAAAGTGAACAAATAAAAAGAAACAGAAAAATTAACCTAAGTTAAAAACTCTTGGGTAATATCTTCGTGGATTTTAAATTTTGGCTAACGGAAGAAAAGATAGATGAGAAGCTCCTTCTTTATATAATTTTGTTAAAATGTTTCCTTCATTAATAAAAAAAAAAAAGTTTCTTTTATCCAGAGTCATGTTTGGTTTAGCTTATTTTTCAAAAAGAAAACAATCCTAAAATAAACTAAATAAAACACTGTCTTATTAGTCCTTTCAAAATTGGTTATATAATACCTTAATACACGATAAAATACAGTTTAAATAAATAATAATTCACAAAAAATGTAATTTACATACTAAAATAATATTAAATTTTTTCTGTCCTCAACTAAATAATTTTTTTTATTATGTATTCATAGATACACAATGTGAAAATGCTAAGTATTTCAAAATACTTAAAAATAAAATTTAAATTGTTTTATATTTTATATATCGTTTGCTGATGGAGTTGAGGTTGTTAAAGTACATACCACAAATGAGCTATTTCTTTTTTCTTTTTTTTCATGTGTCACTGACTTATTCATTTTGAGTTTCTAAAAGAACTGTTTTATGTATTTGGAAATAATCAAAACAAAGTAACATGCATGATGCATCTCAAAGAAAGACAACAGACGTAAGAGATTTCAGTTTGTGAAATCACTTTACATCAATGACAACCATTTGATATTTACTTTGTACCTTAAATACAAATACTTTTTGTTTAAACTTTTAGGGTCAAGGATTATACGCAATTCAAGTGTCATGAAAACATTATATTGAAAGAAGAAAATAAAATAAAAATCCCAAATACATATCTGCCTGTGAAAGCTAAATGGCGGTAGTATATATATCACATTATTTTATATCTTTTTATGAAATTATAAGTTCAATCTTTATAAAAAAAATCTCTAGTCTCTAATATTTTAAAATTTAATATTTATTTTTTCCCATAAAAAATTGATATATATCACCTTGTTAGTTAATCGCATTATCATTAAGGACCAAATATATTAAGTTTTAAAAATATATTAAAATAAAAAATAGTTGGCCTAAAATCAAAATATTGTAAAAATATAAAAACTAAAAATGTATTTAAGTCTTCAAATTGGGTCTGTAAAATATATTTTTTATTATGAAAATTATGTCTTTAGTTGCTCTAACTCCTCCAAAATTAAAATTTCAAGGAATTAAGATTTGTTGGAAAAATTAGTATTTTCCCACTTGTTATCTAAGAAATTAGAAGGACCAGTGTCAATGGAGTAGA